TTGCATGATAGCCTGGGTAACATAGTAAAACCCCATCTCTTAAAAAAAATTTAAAAATTAGCCGGGCTTGGTGGTACATGCCTGTAGTCCCAGCTCCTTAGGAGGATGAGGCAGGAGGATCACTAGAACTCATGAGTGAGTTCAAGACTAGCCCAGGCCATACAGTGAGATCCTGTCTCAAAAAAAAAAGGAGGAGGAGGAAACATCCTGTATATCCAGAGATCTTCATTGACCTTCATTTCACTGTCACCTATGAGAATAGGATACTCAACAGCAGAGGGGAATGAGTTAAATCCATTGTAGTACATTATTAGGCAGTTATCAAATATTATAATTATGAAGCTTATGTAACTTCTATATATTTTTAGTTGTCCAGCTAATTTCTTTCTATTTTTAGTAGAGACGGGGTCTCACTCTTGCTCAGGCTGGTCTTGAACTCCTGACCTTGAACAATCCACCCGCCTCGGCCTCCCAGAGTGCTAGGATTACAGGCGTGAGCCACCACGCCCGGCCTATCATTTATTTGAATGATAATTCAGGGTAATTTGGGACTTAATTCTGAATGACATTGGGACTATTTCCAAAAATCAAATCTATCTTCATATTGTCTGCTTCTCAGCCTTAGAAAATAAAACACCAGGAACACTATTTACCTTTCCCTCAGGGAAACCCAGTCCCCATCACAAATAGCAGTTCTGACCCTGTGCCTCATGCTGTCGCCGGGCCCCCACACTTAACTCCTCCTGAGTTCTGTTGGTCGCCTGCTCTTGGGGTGAGCCCGCGCTCTCTTCCTTTGGGTTGTGCTGCTTCCAGCTGCTGGGTCTGTTTCTCCCTTCCTTCTCTCGGCAGACCTGATGTTCACAGTCACTGCCATTCACCTTATTCACGGTGGAAGTAAATATTACCAAGGTGAGTCAGGAAGTGTCACGGGATGACATCACCCATATTGAAACTGTAAAAGTGTGAATGATGACCCTCTTCTATAGAACTGAGTGCTGTAACTTTCTGCCCTCTACCTTTCTTGGGTTTGATGTCCTTTCAGTGGTTTTTAGTATATTCAGAGAGTTGTGCAACCATCTTCACCATCTAATTTTAGAACATTTTCCTTACTTCAAGAAGAGAACTCATACCCATTAGCAGTCACTCCCCATTCTCCCCTCCCCTCCCCTCATCCTCTGGCACCCACTAATCTACTTTCTGCTTCCACGGATTTGCTTCTTCTGAACATTTCATATAAAGGGAATAATACGATATGTGACATTTTGTGTCTGATGTCTTTCATTTTAGCATAATGTTTTCAGGTACATCCATGTTGTAGCATGTATCAGAACTTCATTGCCTTTTATGGCTGAATAATATTACATTATCTGACTATATCCACATTTTATTTATTCATGATAGACATTTGGGTTGTTCCCACTTTTTGGCTATTATTTGAATGCTGCTATGAACATTTGTGTACAAGTTTGTATGTGGACATGTTTTCTGCTCTTTTGTGTATATACCTAGGAGTGGAATTGCTGGTTCTTATGACAGCTCTATATTTAACATCTTGAAGAACCTCCAAACTGTTTTCCAAAGGTGGCTGCACTATTTTATATTCCCACTAGCAATATGTGAGGGCTCCAATTTTTCCACATCCTCACCTACACTAGTTATTATCTGTCATTACAATTATAGCCATCCTGGTGGGCGTGAAGTAGTATATCATTGTGGTTTTGATTTGCATTTCCCTAACGACTAATGATGTTGAGTACTTTTTTATGTGCTTGTTGGCCATTTGTACGTCTTCTTTGGAGAAATGTCTATTCAAATCCTTTACCCATTTTGAATTATCTTTTTATGGTAGAGTTGTAAGAGTTCTTATATATTCTAGATATACTTTACCAGATATATGATTTGTAGATGTTTTCTCTCATTCTGTGGATTATCTGTCTTTTTACTTTCTTTCTTTCTT